ACTTACATCCATCAGAGCTGTTTCCAAAATATCACCGACGGGCTTCAATGAGTTGTAAGTAGCCTGAAGAAACCCAGTGCTTGTAAGCGGGACGTTTCGCGAACCCACAACTGACTGTTCCCGCCATTCTCATGGCGTCATGCAATTGCAACCAATGCTCATCTATACTTTTCGGTGGAATGGTAGCTAGCCTAGAAACTAGCTCGGTTCGATACTTACTAGCATCAGAAGTTACAACCAGCTTGCTATTATCAATCCGTTGATGGCAGTCACTTCTTTGTCCACTGAAAATTAAGTTCAGATTGGCGCAGACCAATGTATGATCAGAGTCCAGATAGGTTCTCCAAAAGGAGCGGCAGTTCTGTACACAACCACGCCAGCGGTAGCTGATAGCGATGTGATCAATCTGTGTCCAGGCTTGAAATGCAGAGGGAGGACGCCAGGTGGCACATCGGTGATGACTGTGCCGAAAGTTAGTGCTAGCCAGAAACAAGTTGTGGTCTGTGCACAGTTGCAGTAGACGGTCCCCGTTATCTGTCCTGCAACCAACAAGTCTCCATCGGCCACCTAAACGACTCTCTTCTGTGCCTAGACGTCTGACCTGAGCATTGAATTCTCCGGCTAATACTACAATATCTGTCGGACGCACTTTCTGGAGAAGAACAGTTAACCGGTGGTAAACTTCATCCTTGATTGCATCCGGGCTGCAATCTGTCGGAGCATAGGCGGAGATGACGAAAAGACATCGTTTCTCACGCCGATTTCTTCTCACTTTGATGGAACTCTCTAATGCAACAGCACATAACCGACCGTTAATGGGGATCCAATCGTTTAGTGCTGCCTCAGCGAGAAACGGAGAGCGAATTTTTAGTACTTGCTGCTTACTTGTTCCTACTTTCTTGATACTGTCTAGTTTATCGATGGTATTCCGTTATTTATGGTGATGAATCTTGAAGCTCAGAACCTACTGACACGCTGAATTAACCGCTCTTTGACCCTTCACATTTGTCCTTCATAGTAGTTTTCTAATCGTTCGATGGGTCATTTAAACTTGAAACCTGCTACTGAGAGCTAGCTTGAATTCGTTGAGTTCGTCAATAACTTAAAAAAGTTTGTTGCGAACTTATCTAAGGCTATTTCTACAGTTGTTAAGTGTCAAATAAGTCCTTTGTTTTAACGTCTTCAATGGATCCTCGGAATTCCTTAGTGAGGAAACATGATCGATCGTGATCTCTGTATTGTGACCCTGTGATACCCATTTAGCTTTGTGAATGCGTTTGCCGGGGAAATACGGTTCCACCTATAATCGTTTTTTCGAAGGCACATAAATTTGCAAACCACCCACCATTCTCGTTCCTTTCTCCTAGTCAGTTCATGTCGTCCCATGACATCTCCATTCCTGTTGTTGTCCATCCATACCTTGGTATTTAAGTACTCCACCAGGATAGCCAGGTCCTTTCCTGTACAATTCGCCATGATCTGTTTCAGCCTCTCGTAAAACTGGTCTCTATAGTCGTCGTTGCTATAATTTGTGGGTGTATAACATTGAGTAGCATTCATTGTGATACTCTACTTTTTTATTTTGGGGGACGCTTTGATGATTCCGGATCCATGAGATTCCCATCTCATAGGCTCTTAATGTGCTTCTTTGAACGGCATTAGAACAACTCCCAGTGCATTTTCTCCTTCGTGACCCAAATACGGCAGCATCAATTTTGGATCTATCATTTCCTGATCAACTTTGATTTAGTGGGTTTCACTTATTCTAATCACAACTAGGTTGATCGTCTCATCTCCGTTGCAGTTGGACTTGTCCTTCCGGTTTCTCACCGCGTCCGAACATTCCATATACTTTCTGTTGTTGTTCAAATGGGTCTCAGGACGTTCGAAGAATCCCGGCTTTTATCATGACGCGTCATAATTCTTCCTTCAACTCAGAGGGTAGCGTTTAAATGTTTTAATTTGTCCAATCTGGTTGATGTTTGTTAGCGAGATGGTTTTTTCTGGATTGGCTTGCTGAACCAGCGCCAAACACTTGTCCTTTATGTGTCAGCAGCTCTAGAAGAGCTACAAGCGGATTTGAATGGGAATTTCAATGAATTAAAAAGAAGAATTTTCATTTTTCATCTCTTTATGTTAGCGTATTTAACAATTATTTAGTGGAATGTAGTCAGAACGGTTGACTCGATAACATTATATTCGATTCAAATGAATGAAATTCTAACATAACACACAACGTTTAGCCATCGAGAATAAAATGTTTTATTATAGTACGCTACTAGATCACTTACAAATAATTTATGCTTAAATATAACTTCATCTTAATCTAATAAAGCTTAGAAGAAATTTGTTAATCAAATCTTTTTACCAATCCTCTTCGATCATGTTAAATAAAAAGTAACACAAGTGGAAAACGTTTTTGTCTAACTTAACATTTAGTATATCTGAATTATGTATGTTCCGAAGAAGGACATGCACATGCTTTTAGACATCTGGAATAACATTGCTTACGCAGAGATGTTGATCATAATTGACTTATAGAACAACATAGAAGTGTTAATATAACTAATTTCATGTAGTCACCTACCAGAAAAAACTGAAGATTGTAGAGGAATTCTAAAGATCTTGTGGTATATTTATATTATGTTTTGGGTAATAAGTATGAATCCACAAATAGTGTGAGAAGGAATCAAAACAAAGTAGACAGATTGAAATCAGTGATAGCCCTAAAGAAGAATTTGTCTCTATCCTAATGGATTTATACATTTTGGTGATTTCAGATCCATTCATTAAAACAGATGCTTCAAAATATGTTCGGCTGATGATAAAGCGAGTTGTCGACAGTAATTTCTCTCACATTAGTCAATGCATCTATGTAGAAAGTTCCATGAAAACCAATATACTACTAGATAAAGTATATTCCAAGATATTTCATAAGTAAACCAATTTCTTTTGTGTGGTTATCAGTCTTACCATCTCACAGGCGGTTTCGTTTATCAAGTGGGAAAATTCAGAATACTAAGGCAATTGAGTTATTTCGGATTATATGTCATCAAGATATTATATTTATCATGAATTATGTGACTAAACAATCAAAGAACTATTATGAAACTCGTCGGGCTGAAAGTATCCGTCCATTATGTTGAAAACAGATGTAATTTCTATTTGAGCATTTGCCGTGAAAAATCGATGCCTTCAGTTAGGAACCTAGTAATATTTGACGATGAAGAGAAAAAATTGGCGAATCATCAAGAGATGCCGTTGTGGTGTGGGTTACTTATATCCACACAAGTAGCATATAAGATATAGAATGTATTTCAGCTGAAGATCAATAAGGATAGAACGAGAACGGAAACGCAATTGGTATGAAAATGCATGAACAATGAAATTTGAGGCAATGGACTGATATTTACAGACGGAACAATCGCGTTTTAGACGATGGATTGATATTTTGCAAATTAACCTTTCACTATATGTGTAACGGAAAGAGAACTATGAAAAACCCTCTGCAGCTTCTTTGTGGAACAGTATTGTCATTTATTTGTTCCTTCTCCTTGTTGTGTATTTTAACCTTCGTTCCGATCTCGTTTAACCATATCTTTTGTTCTTCAGTCTTCCTCGTTTGAGCCTTTACTGTGTGATTTTGATTAAGGACTTATCCTTTGTAACCTAAGTTATCATTACATGTTGCCGGACCATTGAGAGTAAGGTTGTGTTTGACTAAGCTCAAGGTCACGGCGTGGTTCAGTGTGATTGTTAACTTCTTGATTGTCTGCTTGAGAGGATTGCTGGAATCCCTGCGGATAGATATTTGATCCCATCTTGTTGGGAATATTTTTATTGATTCTCAGGTATCAAACCCCTTACTATTAACTGTCTCTTTCATTGTTTAGCGCGCTACTTTGCGTTAGAGAAACTTCTGACTGTATAGCACAGGCTGTACCGTTTGAGGTATTTTGTGCTTTTGATGTAATTTGTTCTGTTTTCTAAATTAGAGCCGTTTATATTGAGCACAGAGCTTGTGTTTTGATATAATATAATACGAGTATGTCAAAAACGCGTTGTGAGATATACAGAGGAACGTGCTGTGGTCTAATCAAATAAAACTTCGGTTCGTCAGTTCGTTGTTCCAACCGAATATTGGTTGTTCGGTCGTTACACTATTTTTCACAGATTTAAGGAAGATGCCCTGTGATTTTGTATTCAAATATATTCGATTGTCCCAGCTCGTGTTTTTTCTTCACTACACAATCATTGTTACTTAAGAATATGCTTAAAGGGTTCTGCGAAGTCTCTTGAACTAATCAGCAGGCAGTGAAATCTAGAATTTGACCACTCGGAAAAAGTAAAATGTGTGACTACAGTCCACTCTGTTATGTTAAGTCTGTGTATTATCCCAATGTTTGAATGAATACTAAGCTTAAATAGATATTTACGGAGTATGCGAATGTTAAGGATCCCATAAGTCATTGAAGAAACACTTCTAAGACACTTACAATATAGTCGCTAATAGTTTATTGAATTTAAAAGCTTGTAACGTGGTGTCGAGTCCCAGTTGACTATAAACATCGCTACCAAGAAAACACGTGCCAAACAAATCAGAAGACGGATCACAATCATGTTTATTCAATTGGCGATCTCGTGGTATCGAATGAATACCAAGATCGTGCCACAAAATGGTACAAGCGAAAGCAGGAGAACGGACTACGTGCGATCAAAGCCAAGAACCGCGAAACAATGATGGAAAGTAATGGAAGTACCAAATGGCTGTAATTAACACAGTTAAACAAAAGCACAATAAAACATGCACTGGTACAGTCGGTTATAATAATTGTTTTCATTAAACCAATACTGTTCTCGTGATAAAAGTAAGTCACTATAAGCTCAACAATTTGGCTTGGATTTGAGTACTCGAAATGATTATGAAAACTTTTAAAGAAAGCTTTCAGAGGTTTGCAAAAAAATTACGTTGAAAAATTTCGAAATAGTTCATATAATGATTATTTTTGGCGGTTGTTTTAACTGTTGATTATCAAGCTTGGATTGTATCTATGACACCGGCATTTTACTGCATTTAAACTTCCGGCTCGCTGTTTGTTTTAGTGTCGCGTTTCTTGTTAGGATGCGCGAAATCGTCATATACAGGCAGGTCAGTGCGGCAACCAAATTGGCGCCAAGGTGAGTGTACGAGACTAAAATTTCAAATTGTTTATGGTTTTAGTTTTGGGAAGTAATATCAGACGAACACGGCATGATCCAACTGGGACGTACCATGGGGACTCTGATCTTCAGCTAGAACGCATAAATGTATATTACAATGAAGCAACCGGTGGAAAGTATGTGCCTCGTGCTGTTTTGGTCGACCTAGAACCTGGGACTATGGATAGTGTGCGTGCTGGTCCATTTGGGCAGTTATTCCGACCAGATAACTTTGTTTTCGGACAAAGTGGGGCTGGAAATAATTGGGCAAAAGGCCATTACACCGAAGGTGCTGAGTTAGTTGATTCCGTCTTAGATGTTGTTCGCAAAGAGGCGGAATCTTGTGACTGTCTTCAAGGTTTTCAGCTCACTCACTCTCTTGGAGGAGGTACTGGTTCCGGAATGGGGACACTGCTTATTTCTAAAATCCGTGAAGAGTATCCAGACCGTATTATGAATACCTTCTCAGTCGTTCCATCACCTAAAGTAAACTCAATTATTTGTAGTCTTATTCTTAGGTATCTGATACGGTTGTGGAGCCGTACAACGCAACTCTTTCAGTCCACCAGCTTGTAGAAAACACTGACGAAACATATTGCATTGATAACGAAGCGCTGTATGACATATGCTTCCGAACTTTAAAGCTCACCACTCCAACATATGGTGACCTAAATCACTTGGTAAGTGCGACCATGTCAGGTGTTACGACATGTCTTCGATTCCCCGGCCAGCTGAATGCTGATTTAAGGAAATTAGCTGTAAACATGGTACCATTTCCACGTCTACACTTCTTCATGCCTGGATTCGCTCCTCTCACTAGCCGTGGTAGCCAGCAGTATCGTTCCCTTACGGTACCTGAATTAACTCAACAAATGTTTGATTCAAAGAATATGATGGCCGCTTGCGATCCACGCCATGGACGATATCTAACAGTTGCCGCAATGTTTAGAGGGCGCATGTCAATGAAAGAAGTTGATGAGCAAATGCTTAACGTTCAGAACAAAAATTCGAGCTATTTCGTCGAATGGATACCTAATAATGTCAAGACAGCTGTGTGTGACATTCCACCAAGAGGTTTGAAAATGTCCGTCACTTTCATCGGGAACAGTACGGCTATTCAGGAGTTATTCAAGCGTGTTAGCGAGCAGTTCACTGCTATGTTCCGACGCAAGGCTTTTCTGCATTGGTATACAGGTGAAGGTATGGATGAAATGGAGTTCACAGAGGCAGAATCAAATATGAATGATCTCGTCAGCGAGTATCAACAGTATCAAGATGCAACAGCCGAAGAGGAAGGGGATTTCGAGGAAGAAGAAAACGAGGAAGCATGAATTAACGATTGTTGAAAATAAGCCTAATAAATTTCATGTTTCTATGAGTTGTTTCTAGGTTTCAGCTGTTAGGCATAGTGTTATGCTCTGTATATTGGGTTGTGGTCTGATCTGTTAAAATCTCTGTATTTGTCACTGAGATCAAAATACAGCAGCTTGTGCGATGTTACAGTAATCTTTTCCAATTTAGAATCTTGATGGCAGATTACGGGCTGTAAATTGATAAGAAAACTAAGCTGGTCACCGCTTACCTGACTCGCACTTTGCATACATATGGCCGTAATATGTGACACTGAAATCAGTTTTGTTGCTTTGTTCAAACATGAATAGGTGCTTTAAGTGGATCAGTTGTGACGTAGGACCTGAAGTTGTTATACCTCGTTAGAAGTGTGGTGTAGTTGTTACGGCAAATCCTAGAATAGTATAGGTAGTAGCAATAACAAAAAGAATTAGACATAGAGTTTACGACTTGGGGAAATATGAGTTTGTGATGTATGAAATAAGTTGTGGAAGGTAGAGGGGTCTTAGATTTGTAGGAAAACAATGAACTAGCGCCTCAGACAAACATTATCGGCCGTGTTACTCAAACTTTTCGACTACTTGTTATGCTAACCACGTGAACCTTTACCAGGTAGTCCAAAAACCTGGTTGTTAGTACTCGTCTGCGTCTTGATCTATCCGCCTTGCGTACGAATTACCGGGTGAGCTAAGACGAGGGAGTCCGGACTTCTACATGGGAGGCTTCACCATGTAGTGTGGCGCGACGTTTTGTTAGCTTGGCTATGCAGAGTCTTATTTGATATCAATGACAGGTTGGTTAGGAATATAATTTGTGGGTGTGTGATTATTATTAATGGCTCTATCTCAGTGCGAGGACATATGTCGCAATCAATATGAGATTTCCAGGAGTATGTTAGCTAACAAATCGTCTGTGGTATGTCCGGTATGAGTTGCAGCGTACTGTGTTATGCTGTCTGTTGACATTCGGCTTTGTGGGGCCTAATGAACTGAGGTTGACGAGTATCACGTTTATTACTTGCGCTACTTCAATTAGTGTGCCCTAGCAGAAGTTCAAAAAGCTATAGTTAATCTGAAACGAAAAGGGCAGATGGATTGGCTCCAGAAGTCGTTAAGGATGGTGGTCCAATTTTAGCGATTAGGTTGACTAATATTTTAGCTAAGATCTGGGAGTTAGACGTTATTCCATATGACTGGTCACAATCACTTATCGTCCCAATATATAAGAGACGGTTAAAATCATCCTGTGACAACCATAGAGGGATTAGTTTAACTAATATAGTATCGAAAATACTAGCCTCGATAATTATCAGACGCCTAACTAAGACTCGTGAACTGCAAACACGAGAGAACCAAGCTGGCTTCAGACCTGGTCGTGGCTGCATCGACCACATATTCACCATTCGTCAGGTTCTAGAACACAGGCATACTTATCGGCGTACGACAATGGTGGTCTTTCTTGACTTAAAAGCAGCATTTGACTCTGTAGACCGCGAGATTCTGTGGTAGTGTCTGTCATCGAAAGGCGTACCTCAGAAGTACATAAACCTTGTAAAGGCTCTTTACTTGAACACTACTAGTCGAGTGAGAGCTTATGGCGAACTGTCATCTGCTTTTGCAACCTCAAGCGGCATCTGTCCACTTTCTCCATTTTTGTTTAACTTCATCATAGACCTATTGATGGAAATAACTTCTCGTCGACTGAATTCTCGGGTATTGATCTCCTACCAGGAGGTCCACTTATCGACTTAGAATACGCAGATGACATAATCCTGTTTGGTGAAGACGCTGAAAAAATTCAGAGTCTTTTGATAGCACTAAGCAACAATCCCAGAATGTTTGGAATGCGCTTCTCTCCCTCTAAATGCAAGTTGTTGCTTCAGGACTGGTCTGCGTCAACACCTGAACTAAGGATAGAGAGTGAAGTGGTCGAACGCGTCGACAACTCGTTTGGCTTTTGCCAACTTACGTCACCTTTGGCGAAGGCGAGATATCTATCTATCAATTAAAGGACGAGTATACTGCGCGGCAGTCCGTTCTGTCTTACTTTACGGCAGCGAAACATGGCCTTTAAGAGTAGAAGACACCCATAAGCTACTAGTATTTGACCACAGATGCCTTAGAAATATTGCTGGCGTCTGCTGGGATCACCGGATAAGTAATAGTGAGGTTAGACGCAGGGTATTAGGGAATGATGGTAAATCAGTTGATGGGGTTGTGAATCTTCATCGATTGAGATGGTTGGGCCACGTGTTACATATGCCTGAACACCGATTACCACGACGTGCAATGCTAACCGGTGTTGGAGGTGGTTGGAAGAAAGTTAGGGGCGGCCAAACCAAAACGTGGCATCAGTGCTTGAAGACACTAACCTCTAGTCTGAGCCATGTTGGGAGATGCAGACTACTTGGTTGGGGTCCGCGTGACTTTCGTAACCGATGGTTGGGGACTCTTGGTGACATGGCTCAGAATCGATCACAATGGCGTCAGTGCATACACTCCCTGTCTTCCCTTAAACTAAGAGATTAAAATCACTTCATATCTTTCCTTCTACTAACTAATTCTTTCTTCCTGTACTGTATCCTTATATGCAATCTTTCTCCTATATATTACCACCTTTTACCTAACCACTCCTTTGAATCCGGTGTTCATCTTGTTGTGCTGATGAGGTATGGAAATCTGGACCGATGCATATATGTGCCTGGTCCTACGTTGTAGCTGACTGACTGACTTCGCTTTATCGAATCAGGATTAAAGAATTCCTAGTTCGAAGCATAACTTCATGTCTTTATGTTTGGCTGAACTGCAGTATAGATGTCTCAACCCCTACATATACTTGTTGCACTAGAAACGTATTGAGAACTACTGAGATTTGGACCTAGACTTTAACAAGCTAAGTGACAAAATGTAACTTAATATTGGATTTTCATTATACCTCGTATATATATATATATCTGATGCAGAAATAATTAGGCAAACTGATTGAAATAAAAGACTACATAAGGACAGAAATAAGGTTGCAAAATGTCAGTGCTAACACACAATTAGGTACATGACCAGGAGAAAGAAAGCTGGCCAAATCTATTTCCTACACGAAGATTAAGCTGATTTGTATAATCCGCTGCGTGTAAGAAATGAATTCTAGCACTGTGTGGCTGGATAGCAGTTATTTAGCGACCTTCATATCGGTTCTGTGGCCTGAATGCGATAAAATAGGTGATATCTCCACCAGCCCTACATGTGTAACGTGTTGACGAACCTATAATTTGTAATATTAATGGTTCCACAGGAACAGTTAACCTGGTAATATAAGGAGAGCGGGACTTGGTTGCATATTTTTGCTTAAAGAATATTATTTTCTGACCGGAAATCAAAAGGCATGACCTTGCTGCAATTTATCTTAAATTAGTTTGGACTCGTACCTGGATGAACCACATTGTCAACGTTTTTAAGTCGAAGTGTATTTGTTTGTTTAAAAAGACGTCCATCGTTCATTCGTTTTCTTTTTTGTAAAATTACACAATATGTGGTGCATTCTCCATTGTAAATGAAACACTAGACGCCTGTTTCTCGCCATCTGAAATAACTACATTCACACCAGCTTTTATAAAGCAGTTTGATTGATTAGTTTATTTCTGATTGTATGCATATCAGTTAAGTGTTTCAATCTCAGCTGATGTGAGTTGTTATTGTACTTGCTCAAATCAATAACAAAATGATGTGTCAGGGATAGACTCATTACACGGCCTGTTTTCATGTCAACTATAAGAAGTACGATAATCTGGGAGAAATTTATTCACTTCAGAATAAACATAAGTTTCGAAATCTACCACAATCTGGTTAAACTCCAGTCGGGTTAAAGATACGAGTTTTCGAAGTGTGAATTTCGTCAGTCGAACTTGCGTCCAATCCAGTGGGTGATTTTTGGGATGGGACTTCTAGATTTTATTTGATCGTTATAAATTATCGTCGAAATGAACAGCATCTACAATCTTTGAACAAATAACAATAACTGTGTTCATTAGTCACCAACTTTGAGTAGAACTGCTTTGGTAAAAACGCATGACCAGTGGAACTGAACCATGTCGGTTACACGACAGGAATTATCGATTGCAATGAATGGTCGCAAAATACAATTTTGCTGAAGTTGGGAACATAAAGACATTAGGAGCCGACCGCGTACTATATGTATATGTACACTACTGTAAACCATAACCCAACGTACTCTGTTCACAATGAGTGGTGCTAGCAGGGACAGTCCTTTTGGTATTAGCATTTTTGCTCAGTTAGCTTTATCTGACACATATTTTTATACCCAACTAATTAACTGCATTAAGCTGAAGTTACCAAGACTTGAAGCAGTGGAACCAGCACTTTTTCTACAAGTTGACGAGATCGTTATATAACCGGTTTTTTCGACAACCAATATCAGTTTTGATTAAATTTATATAGACCGGGATTATTCGGTAAAGATGCGATGATTGTCATACAGTGGTTGGACAGGTTACATGCGCATGCTGTGTAACATTTTACGAAGCGTAATCTAAACTCTATGAGAGCATATGTGTATTAAAAACAAAATAATTAGTAACACATGGAAATTGTGAATCCAGAATAGGACAACCAAAACACTAACATGACTATTTATAAAGGCTATAGAGACTTTCAACTTAAGTCATAGAACTAAGAAATATCTGCAAAACACGAAACTTTTGATCTCTTACAGTTTTACCAAGAATATATTGCATTCTCAAATACATCGTTTAGCTACTGAAGTTTATATCCCAGTACAATAAAATTTTTCCTGAAGTGGATTCTAGAAGTCGCAGAACTATTTTGTTTACTATGACAAAAAACTTCTTAATGTCGATGTTTGTGGCTACAATGGAGGAGGATTATGGCAGACTGAGATAGATACACCCTTCGAAATTATACATAATGTGATAACCATTACGAAACTGCAGAAGACGAAGTAAAACCACAAAACTTAATTATTACATATTATTGAACAAAATGGATAAGAAACGAAGCGTGAAACAAATTGAATTCAAAATATCATTTTAAGGAGTTTGTAATCAAAATTTTATGTAACCATACACCGAAGTAATCAACCTGCGTGTGCACTCAACGAAAAAATATGAAGAAATTGAGGAAATTATAAATAACTGTATGTCACATCACGATGTGAAGCTGTCGAATGACAGATCAGCTTAAATAGTAAGCATCTTGGAGCAAAAATAAGGCATTATTGTTGGTAATTAGGATAGGATGGAGGGTAATAATGAGTCTCACAAGGAGTCGGACATGCTTTTGATAAGATAGTTGGTGATGTTACGGGAACGGCAGGACTTGAATGCATTGAATTGTAGGAACCCGATACAAAAGTATTTTGAATTGGAGGACACGTGGGACGTGTCGAAGGATTCATACTTTGAGCTGGAGGAGGATACATGGGTGGATATGACATGCCCTGTTGGGAAAAACAAAGTGTAAAACAATACTTTAGAACACAAACAACATTGATACTCATATTGAACCTAGAAAATGGAAAAATTGGCAGTCTCCATCAGCTAAATTATGGAATAACTTGAGATCAATAAGACACTCCAAAAAATAATCTGGATGGCAATTATTTTCGTTGCTAGATATATTTAGTTTACCTAACGATTAAAAAGATTACAAGCAATGAGTTCTCATTTTATAACCATACGAGTAAAATCTCATTTCCATTTTATTATAAGGTGTGAATGGGATTGTATTGACATGTCTATGTCATATTTAATAACCATGTTAAAATTCATTAATTAAATTACTGAATTAGACATTAGGCCGGATAGTTTATTTATCATATCAGCGATGAATAAATGTGAATAACGAACAATATTTCATCCAAAAGATAATATAAATCAGAGATCGGTACAGGATAATATATAGACAAATAGTTTGGCAAGAAAACTCACATGTGGAATCATGGGCGTGGACTGTATTGAACTTTGTGTCGTAGAATTTCTAGGAGAACCTGAAAGAGGCTGCACAATTGGTCGCTGTGGTGTCCCTAAACTAGTTGAAGGATCGCACGGTGGAAGTACAGGTGTAAACATGTTAGATGATGGATTTGGAGGAGTTACAAGGATACCCATAGGTCTATTAGTGTTTGGTAGTGTTCCAGTTTGACGAACATAAGGACCCATATTTGGTGGCATGTTTGCCAAACCGGGAGACTGATAATGGACAAAAACGAACTTTTATAACTAATAATAAATGAATACGAAAATGTTATACGTTTAACTAGTAGTATTTCTTTATATTTCTTTAAATCCTGAACTTTATTCAAAATGTCACTTTTGTTTAATTAGTTGAGGAAGTCTGTTTTTCTTAAACTGTATTAACAATTTAACTCATTTTCAGCTTGTCAGTTTGATGTAAACATCCCTTCGTTGAAGCCGTTAACAAAGACAATTCGAACCCAATTTAACTTCACTGATATTCAGTCCCAAGATCATTACAGAAGAGACTAGACAACCCAATGCAGAAAAACGGCTAATCATGGAAAGAAAAAATCCGCTTTTTGAGTTGAAAGATCTTCGTATTAAGTTTGATGCTTCATGGTGAAAGGCGTGATGCTTACAAAGTCACGAGGCCGATGCCTCTTCTGGAAAATAGAGCAACAACCAATATAAGAACAAGGATTATCTAAACAATGTGGGAGACAGGGAGAACTGTACAAATGGTGAGAATAAAAAGATACAACCTTGTTCTGTTTGAAATAAATGAATTTTATTGGACATAGTGTGGACAAAAAAGACTAATTTCAGGAGACATGCTATTGTATTTCGGTCACAAAGAAGACCCCCCCCCCACATACACAAGGAACTAAACTGATACCATCCAAAAAAGCTTTATAGGATGGAAAACCTACGGCATCAGGATCATCATGACACCCTTCGAAACAGCAGACAATATGACAAAGACCATCTTTATGAGGAAATGCAGTCCATTCTATAGAAATTCCAAAGAAAACACCTGAACATTTTGATAGGACACTTGAACGTCAGGATCGGGATGGAAAATACCAAGTATGAAGACACTATGGAGTGACGCAGACTGGGAGAAAGAAACTAGAAAAGTCAGAAACTGGTATACCCGTGCACTCTCAGCAAAATGCTTAAAGGGGCCGGCGATTTCCCCTACAAATGCATACATACAGCTAAATGGGTTTCACCGGACTAAACTATAGAAAATCAGCCCCCAAATGCCCTGGTATGGCCGAGAGCGGGGTGGGCTCGCCCTCCCTCTCGAAATACTCTCACACGGCCACGCTTATACAGCCTCTGCCAGGGAAGTCTTACTCACTGCCTTCTCGTGGCGGGGATGTTGTTTACGAAAATGAGAGGACGAAAAGCGAATGTCCGGCGCTTTAACCGGATCCCAAACCAATGATGCACATGGGCTCCAGTATCCTGAGGGAACAAATGGCGTATGAACCAATCTCTTTGTCGCCGGCTACCATCGGGCTGCATCTCCTCACGATACTCCACTGCCTTGTGGGTTAGATCTTTAGGTCAAAGGCTCGGGGTGTGGTCCCCTAAGAAAACCACCTGCTTCGGTCTGGGCACCCGAGCAGTATCACAGCCCACACACAATTATGATGAACTGTCTATATTTATGGAAAATAATCTTCTTGCTGCAATTAATAATCAAATGATTCACATATTATTGTTGTTATTATTAACTACTACGTCACTTATTGACCCTCTTTTATTCCTACTCTGTCTATACTTATTTTTTCGACTTATACGGCAGCTCGCCCATAGTGGAAATTCGCCTCTATCTAACGTTCTGGAGTCACTGCTTGATTGAAAATTGTATGCTACCACCGAATACGAGGACTGAAGCAGTTTTTCTGAGACCACGTGCACGATCCAAACTGGCTGCCTTCAACGTTCGCACACTTATGGAGGTCAGACAACAGATAGGGCTGGCTATGTCTTTAGAAAGCCTTAATATCGAAGTTTTTCGTCTATCCGAGACCCGTATTCAAGACTCTGGTGAAGTACTACAAATTTGCTCTCCATCTGTCGCTTCGAAAAGCTTGTTTTACGTGCGCTTATCCGGGGACCCTGTGGCATCTTCGTCTGCTCTTGCTGGCGTCGGTGTCGCACTAAGTGCTAGAGCTGAGGCAGCACTAATCGATTGGATCCCCATTAACAGTCGGTTATGTGCTGTATAAGTGCTGGTGGGGGTGTGAGTGATGAGATCAATGCACGTATAGTGAAAGCCAGAGCGGCTTATGCCAATCTGGGCCACCTTTGGCGCCTTCGTGATGTTAGTCTGGCTGTAAAAGGCTGGATCTACGACGCGTCGGTGAGAGCAGTTTTGCTCTATGCTTGTGAAACCTGAACTCTCCGAGTTGAGGACGTTAGACGACTCTCTGTGTTCGATCATCACTGTCTCCGAAGGATTGCTGACATTCAGTGGCAACACCATGTCAGTAATGCAGAGGTTCGGCATCGTGTGTTCGGGCACAGAGATGATAATTCAATTGGTGTCACCATCTTGAAACACCGACTTCGGCGGCTTGGACATGTTCTCCGAATGTCGTCCCAGAGAATTCCACGTCGTGCATTATTTGCCGACGCTGGGACTGGTTGGAAGAAGCGGAGAGGTGGTCAGTGCATGACATGGTGTCGTGGTATGAAAGAAATCTGCAAAGGACTGGCTTGTGTTGGTCCTTCACGACTCCCTGGTTGGGGTCTGAGAGATGGTGCTACACAGTGGCTAGAGACGTTATCAGATATGGCTCAGAATAGAAGCCAGTGGCGATCCTGCTGTAACCTTCTTTTACTTTCTTCATAAAAAGTGGTTGTATCTTCCTCAACTGAAAGATTTCTTCTGATTGTACCTTTCGTTTCCCCTATTATTATTATTATTATTATTGTTATTATTATTATTATTATTATTATTATTATTATTATTATTATTATTATTATTATTATTATTATTATTACGCTACCTTACCTTATTCTGTTCGGTATTGCTCTTCAAATTCCCATTGTTTTGTGTGGCGCATATATATTTGGTGCCCTCTTGTTCCAATATTTATGTGTTCAAATAAATAATTAAATAGCTGATTCCATGTGTGTAAATAAAAAAGTCAGTGGGTCCACTGAAGATGTAGGAACAAACAGGAGGGGTGACATAGCTTCAGACAACCACCTGTCAGCGACCAAGCTATAACTGAAGCTAAAGCAGCATCATACAATTGCACAGGCAACACTACATAAGTGTGACGCAACCTTCTTTCGAAATGTTTACAAGACCAGTGAATTCAAGATAGCTCCTCACGCTAATACGGCTATACGATAATGAGACTGGTTTGGATGACTATGTTTATAAAACATCTAGATTGAATACTCGAAAGATCCGCTGTACAAAGACCAGATCACGTTACATCAGATACCTGATTCACGACTATAATCAAGATAGCTCTACATAAGAAGTATGAAGCCTTACAAGATCTAATCAAAGAGGAAAGTGCTGTGGAGAACAATTAGGATGGGAGCATTACAGCTGACAAGAGGAAATACATGGAAGACCTAGCAACGACAGGAGAAAAGGCTGCTAGAGAAGGAAGTGAAAGAGAACTACATGATGCAACCGAGAAGCCAGCACGAGAGTATAGTAGACCAGATCCACCAGTCAGGAACGAACGAGGAAAGTCAATTATGGACGTTAAACAGCAAAGGAACCGGTGGGTAGAGCATTTTAAAGAGCTCCAGAATAGACTGGCTACATTGAACCCACCGGACACTGTTATATCTCAAGGGGCCGCCGATTAAAGGACAGTGACTTATCGATCGGATCAAGGGATTTATAATCTTGATAGGCTATTCTGGTTCGTTGTACTCGACTAAGCTAACGCGATCAAGAAGTCTGGGTGAGGCGTAGAAAGTGTATTCTATAGGCAAACAGCAGATATCAAGTCAGGTCAAGCACACAAGCGTGTTTATACAAATATTTACAATCGATATTGTCATAGTAAAATGTTTTTAAACATTAATCAATAAGTTCATCAATCGACAGGCATTCAAATATTTAATCGATGAGTTCATCAATTAACTGCTATTTAATCGATAAGTTCATCAATTGACATCCATTCAAATATTTAACATTTAATCGATAAGTTGATCGATAATATGAAATTACAGAATATGAGTTTTGGGGACAGAAGCAACACACACACAGACCTCCCTATAAATGTTACTGCACCGACCAATTAAAGAAATCAGCAAAGCCACCAATCAGACAAGTCAATGATTACAAAGCAGTGGACCAGACAGCACACCAACTGAAGCACTGAAGTCAGATATAGTGGTAACTGCAAAGATGTTACACGTTCTTTTCTCAGAGTTGGGAGCAAGAACAAGTACCAATAAACCGGGTACCTCCTCAATACACCAAGGGAAGGTGGGAGGACTGTAGACGCACCACACTACTTTCAGAACCAGACACAGTTTTCAACTGAGTGTTAATGGGCCGGATGAAAAACTCAGTAGACGCCCAACTTCCAAATCAACAAGCTGACTTGCATAAGGATTGATCATATACCGACCAAGTCGCAACATTGCCAATCATTGTTAGGCAATCAATTAGACGAAACTCATCGCTTATTTATTTATTTATTTGAACACATGAATATTGGTACAAGAGAGCGCCAATATATATGCGCCACACAAAACAATGAGAATTCAAAGAGAAGTAGAAAAAAAAACTAAGGAGCGCAAAAGAAAAAGAGAACAATGACGAAGAGATTGGAGTAAAGTAGTGTGGTAGTAACGACGGAACGAAAAGGTACAATCAGAAGAAATCTTTCAGTTGAGGAAGATACAACCACTTTTTATGAAGAAAGTAAAAGAAGGTTACAGCAGGATCGCCACTGGCTTCTATTCTGAGCCATATCTGATAACGTCTCTAGCCACTGTGTAGCACCATCTCTCAGACCCCAACCAGGGAGTCGTGAAGGACCAACACAAGCCAGTCCTTTGCAGATTTCTTTCATACCACGACACCATGTCATGCACTGACCACCTCTCCGCTTCTTCCAACCAGTCCCAGCGTCGGCAAATAATGCACGACGTGGAATTCTCTGGGACGACATTCGGAGAACATGTCCAAGCCGCCGAAGTCGGTGTTTCAAGATGGTGACACCAATTGAATTATCATCTCTGTGCCCGAACACACGATGCCGAACCTCTGCATTACTGACATGGTGTTGCCACTGAATGTCAGCAATCCTTCGGAGACAGTGATGATCGAACACAGAGAGTCGTCTAACGTCCTCAACTCGGAGAGTTCAGGTTTCACAAGCATAGAGCAAAACTGCTCTCACCGACGCGTCGTAGATCCGGCCTTTTACAGCCAGACTAACATCACGAAGGCGCCAAAGGTGGCCCAGATTGGCATAAGCCGCTCTGGCTTTCACTATACGTGCATTGATCTCATCACTCACACCCCCACCAGCACTTATGCAGCTACCCAGATACACGAAATTCTCAACTACTTCCATCTGCTCACCATCCAGGGTGAGTACAGGATTAGAATCCTGCCAGTCTTGTAGAAGTACTTTGCACTTCGAAGGTGCAAAGCACATACCATACCTACGGACACTGATTGCCAACTGATTAAGTGCGGATTGCATGCCTTGGGCATTATCGCACAGTAAGACAATATCATCCGCATACTCAAGGTCGAGAAGTCTTTCTCCAGGCAACAGATCCACACCACCATTACTTACATTCATCAGAGCTGTTTCCAGAATGTCATCGATGGCAAAGTTGAAGAGGAATGGTGAGATTGAGCAACCCTGACTAACCCCGCTGCTCGAATGGAACAATGGAGAGAGGTGGTTGTATGCCCTCACTCTGCCTGAGGTGTTTTTATATAGGGCTTTCAGGATGTTAATAAACTTCTCAGGCACACCCTTCTTCAATTGCCAACTCATCGCTACACACCAACTTCCTCCATTGTAAGGCGTTCGACAGCATGGATAGAAGAACTTAATGGAATATTATTCGGCACTATGGTATCGTGTCATCATCACGCAGAATTCATAGCAAGGACTACACTGGAGAGTCGTGCATGGAGGGTAGCTCACAATTCCATCCTAAATGTAGAGTGATGTCAAACAAAACTAACTACTCTCTCCTATTCTCTTCCTGCTAGCTGATGACTATATTATGACGGCCTCTACATTTCAGAAACAGCACGCAATACAGTGAACACCTTGAACACAGCTAGATCATTTGGACAATACAGATAGCTTGACACTTCTACTCCGTACATAACAACAATCGCAGATGATAACAGTCAGTGTCGCTGTGGTTTCCGTAGTACTTGGTCTACATATTCAAAACGGTGAAAGCAAGAACCCGAAATACGACTGTGGGATGTAGAAAATTATGATGAGTATGAAAAATGTAATACTAAACATGTAATTATTCAGATAATATTTAGATTATAAAGATCAGATTACATCATGAAATAATTATTTTCGTCTAGTTAATTGTTTTATTTTTATGTTACTGATATTTTCCAAAATGTATCTCAAGCCAATATGAGTGTGATATGAAATGACCATTACTGATCTAAACATGTTTTGATTTTCTTTAATTTTACGGACTTATGCGCAAAATTGCAATATCTCGACGTTGATACTCCTTACGTGGTAAGACAATCATAAACACTTTAGCACCATGGTAAGAACAATTATGTAGCTGATACTAATAAACACAGCAGCCGAAAATGAGCTACACAGCGGAATTCGAAATTACGACATACGCCGTGACTACTAAATCACCCTAGTTTGGATTTTCATTACGAACCCGTTAAAAGGAAATCTGACAGGTGATATAAGTTTCAAAACCGAGAATCCTTCTTTTTAATTGTTTACAAATTAAAATGAACGGTTTGATGTTCACAAAACACACTGAAATGACATACCCTGAAAGACGGAGTACTATGCTGTTGTAACATCGGAGTTGATGTGTTAGACATCCTAAGAGTATCATTGCCATGAATTATAGGTTGTGCTGAGTTTTGAGGGGATATAGGTATTGATGGTTGTACTTGAGGTTGAGTGGGAAGATGGTTTTGATGTCCTGAAGGCTGTTGATAAAATGATGATATTATCTGACTATTTGGTGTTAACGGTTGACCCTGAGACGGTAGTATCGTAGTGGAGAGTGTGGAACTAATATTAGGCGCCGCCGATACTACCACTTCTGCATTAGAATGACTAAATTTAGTAGGTACTTTGTCAATTGTATCAAGCTTATTCTCAAACGGTGCTTGGAAATCTATAGGGTCGCGATCAGCAGATTTTTTAGTCGAATTTAGCCCCTCGTTGTCTAACAATCCAGCCGTTGAGAAAGTTGATTTGGAAACCATGTAATTTTCCTGAAATAGTTAGTAGTTTATTTTAGAATATACAAAAAGTTAAATTTTATCAAATGAGAACAACGTGCCTGATGCAAAAATGTACTGAAATATATTTGTTTGATCAGTAAGAAAATAAACCATCGTATGATGTAATAAGATTACAGGATGAAAATATGGGAAATAAAGGTCTGCAATCACACTATCTAGAAGAAAATCTTTACCATCGTTCTGCAAGTAAACAAGTTTACCTTATATTTTAAAGTAAATTTTACTCACACATTTGTGATGATGAACACCGAATATACTGTGTTTCGACTGTTATTTTCAGACAATTTAGAGCTTTTCTAAGTGCTGTTACCGTAATAATTTTATCTCATTACTTGCTCTTCAGTGTTTTCTTTTGAATTTTTTCAACTCTTGTAATTAGGATGATCTAGTTGAAAAAGTCTAGTCAAATGTTTATATAAAAATTAAAATGAAAATTAGTTTCACTAGTAATAGATTATCAAGCTGAAGTGCTTGACAATTGAGTTATCAATAATTTTTTCAAGGATTTAGTCAAATTCTCCTCACTTTGATATGCAACATCCTTTGGACGTTTTTTTGGGATATCGATTGTTATCAAAGAGAACACAGAATACATTTGAAATATAGTCCTTTTGATCAATTATAACAATGCCAGAACCTTTATCCAGAAAACTTAACATCATATTTTTGTTTCTCAATAGAACAAATAGTTATAATTCATGTTCTATAGAAATTAGTCCTTCAGTTGTTCGTTTTGTATTGGTATATATTAATTAAAACTTACAGTGACTTTTGAATTTTTCACGTGCTTTGTTGGATACAGATGTGGGGTCTTTCGTCTGACGAATTAGGCTATCAAACTGAATTGTTGTGCTGAGCCCATAATTACGTTTTCGATAACGTGATGTTGAAGTAGTTAGAGACGTATTTCTCAAGTGTTTCTCGAAGAGAAGAGCGCATTATTACTAAATTTAGAATTTTTATCAACTCGACCTTCATATCCTCTGAACGTTTCGTCGATAACTTATCTATTTATTCCTTTAACCTGTCACGTTCATCGTCAGTTAATCCATAAAACATGTACTTTTATTTAAAGATTTCCATAGATTTCTAGTAATCCTGGCTTAATTTCCTATTTAAAATTAGAAATGCTGCATTGTACATGATAAATAATGAGTCGAACGAAAGCTTCTGACAAAAGGAATATGAACTTATAGGATCTAGCATGATAATAATTATGCAAAAAGCATATGTATTAGAATATACACATGAAAAAAACGAAGTTAACAACAAAGAAATGTGTCATTTTATTATCACTAAGCTAATTATATGGGTGAAAATACTGCTGAATCTGTCTACTACAATTAATTCAATTCCTGACATTTAAGTATTTGGAGACAATTTATGTGATTATGTTTGTGGTCTTAACCACACAAGATATCTGATAGATTAGTAGAGATTAACTCTGGTTCAGCATTTGAACCCAGGCTTTGCCGCTTTTATGGGCACCTACATTGAAAATTACACTAGTAGATCCTGAGAATATATTGGATCTAAAGATCATTATATGTAAAATATAATGGGTATATTCAAGGGACTAATATACCCGTCAAGAAATTTGCCATATATTGTTTGCGACAGGATCTACTTCAAAGTGACGACTTTCACTGATATTGAGGTGGGTTTTGGAAAAGTAAATAGGGTGAAGAACAACATATGTCAAAATTCTACTCATTATTTTAACTTAAGTTTAATTGTGTTGTGTGATTAGCTGGTAATTTCCGGTTACCCCGATCGACATGACCAGTGAAAGACTAATTTCGGGTTTTAGCCTCAAGTTAACCACAATACAGAGAAGCAGTCATGTGTCTTATGTGGATTGGACACCACGAAAATCATGCTAAAACCATTCTATTATCTACACGCACACAAGATTTTGATTTCGAAATGTTATCTGAACTGTTGACTGATGACAAGTAGATGGGTGGATTTGGAGAAGAGATTGTAACATCTGTAGATCGGACATTAGATAACGGATCGAATTCTTTGTTACTCTCCGGGTTGCATATTGACTGTGACAAAAGAGAAAAATAGAATCATTTTCTAAATTAGGCGTAGAAGGATATATTTTAGTTAACAACACTGTACAGATACATTAACGACTTAGGAATTGTATGAGTACAAACGTGTTCTCATGTAAATCTTGTAAAACAATCAAACGGTTTGTTTAATGTTATTCAGACAGTAATATACGAAAACTGCACATTATTCAAGTTACATAAATGTAATGTTCAATACTACTTATTAAGACCTTCGATCAAAAAGCTGCAGCATCTGGATTTGATGAGGTTGTAACTTACAACGTTAACTATTTCTACTTATGCCCCGTGGTGCTTTATACGATATTTAACATTTGTTATTTTTGAATAGGTAGTCAGGAATTATATGAACTAAATAACCTATTTTATTACGTACCAATAAAATGATCACCATGACATTTCTCAACACATTTTGAATTCTACAAAATATTACCGCATCAATATGATATTGTTGTCAGCTTTTGTATTGTAAGGACGCCAAAATTCGTAAGTTACCACCTAAACCATACATAAAACAGTTGATAGGATGGAACAGGAACAAAAGTAAAATTAATTTGCTTTTGTTTCTCGATAAGCTAATATACTACTAATTTGTATTCATTAAAAATTTAGTCTGTGGGACTTTTGTGTAGTCCTGACAGTAAGCTATTTTTTGACCTATCGGCTATTGTTATCACTTTTGCCGCTCATAGACTACAATCAATCAACTAAGAATTTATTAGTTTTGGATTGCAAATGTCCTAGTTGTGTATGCATTAAAACTTATTATTTAGAGTAGTCTTGATATCTCACCTATACATATTATCGTGAGTTATGGATGTACACAATGAAATTGTTCGCAACCATTCGATCGGTTTTCTGGTATTCTGACTGTAGGTTTAGAAAAGTGGACATGCGGACCCTATCGAAAGCATCAAAAATATAGTAATGGGAATGTGATGCAGACAAGGGACAACGGCAAGTAAGTATAAATGGCAGTTTAGACTCATATAAGTTTCAGTAAATTGCTAACGAGTGTTAATCATGATCAATCAAATTATATCCAATTGAAAAATAACATTTTTTCTGAGTTGGCAGATAATACTTACGTCTGTTTTGTTTACTATTTCAAGTCGATTACAGTTAGTGAAAGCTATATCCATAGAATTGTTGGCAGAAAACGTTTTTTGAATACGATCAGCTACGTTTAGGATGTGGTTACCAAGCCGTTGAAGTTCATAAACTAAAGAAAACGTATCCCCTGATTCGAGTTTTTTAGCTTCACCGTCTTTTCTGTTTTTAAATGGAGCAGTACATTGTAATATTTCAGGTTTGTTTACAACTATGGAAATTGAAAAAAAAATCATTAACAAAACCTATCAAGAATGAATGAATTTAGACTGGAGAAGCTCGAGCCTTCTATTTAGAAATCTGAATTAATGTCAAGGTCTGGTGACTGAAATAGTTAGCCCAGTTTAGGTGTGATTCAATCAATAAAGTTTACTCATTTATTTACGAGCTATCTACAAAAGTGTAACAACCACATAAAGGCAACCAGCAGTCTTTTCTAAATTATGATGACAGAGTATTAGCCGCTTTTAAACTAACGGCACATCCACACAAAGAATATTTTTGTTGAGTGAAATCCAAAAACTTGAGCCGAAACCAGCAACTTCTATAAGTTAGGCGTAGCATACTATCATTTAAACCAAGAAACAAAGATATCTAAGCATAAAACCTATCTTCACGCCCAAGAAATCCTATACTGAAATAGATGAAATGTGGCTTACACAGAAAGCGCGTTTCTTATGAAATAATATATTTCTTTCACAGAAATATCAGACATTGATGTCCATTTTTCTGAATAATCGGGAAAGAAAAGGATATTGGCTGAAAGCATAACGGAAGGTGAACTTCAACTTTTAACTGGAAGACGAACACTGTAGAAGTTTGAAAGTGTATGGCTTAGCATTTATTTTTAGTTTATCCAGACAGTGGATATACCAAACAGTCATAAGGGGGAATCAAATGCATTTGACGAAAAATGATTTTAAATGATAGAAAAAACTCCGATTGGTGTTACATGCTTCGTATGTAACTTCATACGTAACCAGTCCGATTCCGAAATTAAACATTTGAACGATACTACTTGCATATCAGTAGTAATTAAGCCGTAGTTGTCGGACAACTATCGTAGCTGGCAATACATTTGGAATGCTATATTCAAAGTGCAGCTTTTACACTAAGAAATAGCAGCATTTTCAAAGCGGAAGCCATGCAAAGATGGAAAATCGTAGATTACTGATTTCATGGTTTTACAAGAACGAGAAATGTTACTTCTTCTAACCTTTCGTTTACACAGAAACTTGTGTTGGCAGTAAATACGAATTCAATATAATAACGATATTGCAGAATTTTAGAGCCCATAAAATTTATGTTTGAATATTATGTAAAGGTTTTGAAATGCGTAAAATGTTTAAGAGGCATAAATGAGTGTTGTTTATTTAACCGACTTGTATCATTGCCCCACGCTATACTGATCGTTACTTGTCGAAGCTATTTGAGCTTCATGCAAGAGCTAAAATGTCCAGCAGTGTCATCCTATTACCAACCAAATTAGTGTCCCTACCTGTAAGGTAAGATTAATTTATAATTTGGTGATATAGAATAGTGAATAACATCTCTCAGACACCTGTCTTCGTAAGACAGTCTCAGCGGTACTTTCTCCTTGGAACTGGATGTAACTCTGGAGTCTGGGAATGAGCACTGACTTTTATCAAATGTTACGATATTTCACTAGAAAACACAAAATTCAGACCCAATTAATCAATAGAAACTAATTGATCTTCCTGTTTATTTTTCATTCCTTCTGAATATTTAAATTTAATAGGACATGGACAATTGTCAATGGGAAGCCAGTCACTCAACACAGAGCTTCACAATGTAATGTAGTGCTCATCCTAACTAAACTGGATAGGTGATGCTTCATGATCCTTGGACAAGCGTTTATCAAACATCCTCTCAGTCAACAGATGGAGTAAAACACGGTATTTTTGAATTCCAGACAAACATGTATTTTGCTTAAGTCATATAAGGATGTGGGCGTTAAACATACCAGGTTGAGATGTCAAGTGTTTCGAAACTACTGAGATGAATTTAATATCTGAGGATAGCTTCGGGGAAGCAACTAATTGGTATAAAAACAAATGGCTATGAGGACTATAGGGGTAAAAAACGCACACGACGGATATATTACATGTTATCTTGATTGCGCACGTTAGCTGTTGCATAATAAGCTCGATTCGCGCGAACGGCAATACTCTTATTTTTCCTCTTCACGGTTATAACAGTTAAAATATTTGGTTACTTAAACTAAAACAGGTAGAGGGGAGTTTTTCCCCTAACTGAATGACTGAGAAATGAATGACTTCCCAACTAAACCACCGTGTATTGTTAACTAGTGTTAGTCAGTTATTTCCACGATCCCCTATCACTTCACAAAAATGCAGAATTTTTTTCAACTCTATTGCTTTGCCATGAACGAAGCACAGTGTATTTACTCACCTAAAATCGTTAAGCAATACTTTTGTGCAAATAAACAAAAAACTGGAAGGTCAGTTAAAGTTTACAAATACTCAAGTCTTGGACGTAGCACCCAAAAGTGCTTAAAATATACGGGCACTCTCATGAAAACATAAATGCACTGAAATTCGTATATGAAAAACCACTTTTCTCTTCTCAAGTTAACGTCCGCCTAGACGCCTACAAATGAGAAAGAAATGAACGACTGTGTAGGCTTTAAACGATAACATTAAGTCAGGAACTCTAATCTGAGTGGACATCATCCCAAATAATGATGAAAATTACGTATCAACGTGATGATAGTTGGGTCTCGTCTGAAAATCACACTTTTTCTACGAAATCTGAAAGAAGTTACCTGAAAAGATAATTCGGGTTAAGTTGCTAGGTCACATAGATTCACACAATGTTAGCTCCTGAGCAACATGGGTTTCGTAACAAGCGTTCATGCTTGACTGACTTACTTATTGCGAGAGAGGACTGGACAGCAGCCCTAGATAACCGTCTGTTTGTCGATGTGATTTTCATAGATTCTAGCAAGGTATTTGACGAGGTTTCACACTTAGGTCTTATGCACAAGCTCTCGAACTTCGGAATAATAGGTTCTGTACAGGAGTGGATAGGAAAATTCTTATATGACCGCAAACAGAGAGTGAGGGTCAACGGAACGCTATCCGATTGGAAGCCAGTCAAAAGTGGTGTACCCCAAGGCACCATCTTAGGCCCTCTGCCCTTACTTCTCCACGTTAACGAGTTACCGCTGTTGCTTAGGTCGTCGACATTTTTGTTTGCGAATGACGTAAAAATCTGGGGAACAATGAAAAGTGGGGCCGATTATTTTGACCTTCAAGCTGACTTAGACGAATTGGTTAGATGAGCTCGAGGTTGGGGCTTAGGAATCAATTCTAGGAAAAGTGTGCTAATGCACATCGGTCACTGCAATAGTTACTATCATACTACTGATGGTAAACCTCTTCCACGCATTCAAGAATGTAGACTTAGGAGTAATATAAGTCATTGCTTGAAAACAACTACGGATTGCAACGCAGCTGCTGTCAAAGGTTCTCGTGAGTTATGGTCACTTCGCCGAGCATTCAAATGCTTTGACGAGGAAATGTCTCGAATTTCATATACCACCTATGTAAGACCACATTTAGAGTACTGTATCTAAGCACCTGGCCCATGTCTGGTAAAGGATACCGACTCACTTGAGCGTGTATGAACAAAATTAGTGAAGGGTCTTTTTAAACTCCTTTGCGATGAGCGTTTAAAACGCCTAAACCTTTTCCCTTTGTCGTATCGCAGGACTCGAGGTGACCTTATACTGGCATTTCGTATCTTTGATCATGATTTGGGTGTTAATATGTCCTATCTTTTCGCTCCCTCCAGCACTAATAATCTCCGGGGTCATAGCAAGAAGGTTCACAAACCGCGATTTAAGAAACTTAAAGTTGGGTCCCGTTTTTCTCATCGAGTAGTCAATGACTGGAACGCCCCACCCAAAGAAGTGGTATTAGCCCCATCAGTGAGTATTTTCAAAGAAACGCTGAATCTTCATTGGAAGGCAATCTGTCAGGATTAACACAGGTTCACCAACCTACTATCCTTGTTACTGAAGACTAATGGGGTCCTGGTCCTGAGAACCCTTATGTATGATGGTCTTATTTTTCAGAAGAATGTGAAAACCAGAGCATTAAGACCAATATGTGAGTTGTTAAGGTAACGTACCGAAGACTTTAATCTGTAGCACCTTGCTGGACTGTATGGCGAGGGAGAGCTCAGACTCATCCTCAATCGTTATAAAGTCCCCATCTGAAGGGTGAACATGAGAAGCTTGCACTCACCTTCGTCCTTATATTTTACCAATAATTCATCTTCCTTTGTAATATACTGTTTGAAGACACGTTGCATCATTAAAATAAGTTCATCGTAAGTGATTTCCTCATTATGTATTGGGATTCGTCGCAAGTCATGTCCTAGTTGAGCTTTGATAATAAGTTTCCCAGAGAGATCCATGCTGAAACGCTGCAGCCTAATTCCGACCTTATCCGTGGTAATGATACGTCAGCAGCCAATACCTGACCTTAATGATCCAGACAGGTGCGGCCACATGTCCAATACTCAATGTACTGTCACATCTAATAATCCATGTGATGTTGTGAAACTGCGTAATGGATGCCCAAAGAACACATTGATTGAACTGTCATACCTTGGCTAATAAAATATGTTGGAGTATGAATATTATTTTTTAGACTTAATCAATATTGGTCATAATATTAAAATTAAGCCAATAATAACCGTAATTGAAATTCAGAGATTTTGTCGTCACACTGTTAAGAGAGTAACGCCAAACCGTAGCCAAATGATCCACTAACCTGAATGCATGCTTATCTTGTAAGACTATTTTCTGGAAATTGAATCGAAGACGGAAATTAGTGGAGGTTAATGAAAGCTAATACATATGTACTTCCCCAGAACAAGACTAACTTTATTCCTGATACATTTATTACATCAACGTACTGAGGCTCCCAAGACAGCTAAATGACTGCCGCGTGAAAGACATTTTCGAGCCTTGTTCATTTACCTCTCGTTCTGCGGCTAAGAGGTCGAACTTTTAAATCTTACCGTGTCAATAAATAAAAAAATTAATACTTTAAAGTACTCTTATACACACATTTTTGAATAAGAAACCGCAAAATCAACCGTTCTGTGCATGTAATCTTTTCCGCTGCCATATGGTATACATGGTGGTTTTTCCTTAAGGTTTGCTTACCACAAAAGTGTTTACTAACAACAAGCCCGCGGGACTTAGACATATAGATGATCACGCCTTTAGGTTCTCATTACCCCAATAGGAAGGAGGTGAACTGTGCCATCAAATAAATCACAAAAATAAAATTTTATTAGTCTTTGACATTGATGCGGACCTCATTAGTTTTACTGTGTAGACCCCTAACTGAGGATTTTCCGTCAAGCATCCAGATCAAGTCATGTTTGTCTACATCGTGCTGAGCGTCTCTTATGAGAACCAGTTAAGTTAGACTTTATCCAAATATATGTCTTAACTCTCGCATTATGGGCCTCCGGTTTAACGGGCTTTGTGATTTTCAACTGTTGACGTGTTACGGAACACAGAGTTGTGAATCCCTAAATGTCCCTGACATCTAAGAGCTTTATGCGACTCAGTGAAGGAGAAAATCTATTAGAAAGTTGAAGGCTGTATAAAGGCCACAGGTATTCAGAATTCTACGACACCTTTACCAGCAACACCCTATAATGGAAGTATACCAAGCCAGTCAAATCCGAAGTCAGAAATGAAGGGGTTTGAAGAAATATTTGAAAGGCTTTCGATATATTGAGAAGCGTTCGGTCTAAGCTGGCCAACAGTTGCAAGGGATGCATAGCATAGCGTACCCAAATGTGATATAAGTTGGACCAATGCCGCATGTGCCTGTCTATGCTATGTAATTTATCAATCCGCCTTAATCGCAATCGAGAAGAACGATTTCGTTAAACTACCGAGATTTCGATATTCTACAATGTAAAGTAGAAGAGGTCCAGCCTGGTAGGTGATATGGATAGTACTCCGTCTCATTTCCTTGACCCTACAAGAAAAAAGTCACTAACTTAATCAACGCTTTCAGATTTTCTCAAATTTATATTTGACTGTTTCCTGCGTTGAAAGAAAAAGGAGAATTTGATGACGTAATTGGCTTTCCATTATGCAGTTTCACAACATCACATGGATTATTAGATGTGACAGTACATTGAGTATTGGACATGTGGCCGCACCTGTCTGGATCATTAAGGTCAGGTATTGGCTGCTGACGTATCATTACCACGGATAAGGTCGGAATTAGGCTGCAGCGTTTCAGCATGGATCTCTCTGGGAAACTTATTATCAAAGCTCAACTAGGACATGACTTGCGACGAATCCCAATACATAATGAGGAAATCACTTACGATGAACTTATTTTAATGATGCAACGTGTCTTCAAACAGTATATTACAAAGGAAGATGAATTATTGGTAAAATATAAGGACGAAGGTGAGTGCAAGCTTCTCATGTTCACCCTTCAGATGGGGACTTTATAACGATTGAGGATGAGTCTGAGCTCTCCCTCGCCATACAGTCCAGCAAGGTGCTACAGATTAAAGTCTTCGGTACGTTACCTTAACAACTCACATATTGGTCTTAATGCTCTGGTTTTCACATTCTTCTGAAAAATAAGACCATCATACATAAGGGTTCTCAGGACCAGGACCCCATTAGTCTTCAGTAACAAGGATAGTAGGTTGGTGAACCTGTGTTAATCCTGACAGATTGCCTTCCAATGAAGATTCAGCGTTTCTTTGAAAATACTCACTGATGGGGCTAATACCACTTCTTTGGGTGGGGCGTTCCAGTCATTGACTACTCGATGAGAAAAACGGGACCCAACTTTAAGTTTCTTAAATCGCGGTTTGTGAACCTTCTTGCTATGACCCCGGAGATTATTAGTGCTGGAGGGAGCGAAAAGATAGGACATATTAACACCCAAATCATGATCAAAGATACGAAATGCCAGTATAAGGTCACCTCGAGTCCTGCGATACGACAAAGGGAAAAGGTTTAGGCGTTTTAAACGCTCATCGCAAAGGAGTTTAAAAAGACCCTTCACTAATTTTGTTCATACACGCTCAAGTGAGTCGGTATCCTTTACCAGACATGGGCCAGGTGCTTAGATACAGTACTCTAAATGTGGTCTTACATAGGTGGTATATGAAATTCGAGACATTTCCTCGTCAAAGCATTTGAATGCTCGGCGAAGTGACCATAACTCACGAGAACCTTTGACAGCAGCTGCGTTGCAATCCGTAGTTGTTTTCAAGCAATGACTTATATTACTCCTAAGTCTACATTCTTGAATGCGTGGAAGAGGTTTACCATCAGTAGTATGATAGTAACTATTGCAGTGACCGATGTGCATTAGCACACTTTTCCTAGAATTGATTCCTAAGCCCCAACCTCGAGCTCATCTAACCAATTCGTCTAAGTCAGCTTGAAGGTCAAAATAATCGGCCCCACTTTTCATTGTTCCCCAGATTTTTACGTCATTCGCAAACAAAAATGTCGACGACCTAAGCAACAGCGGTAACTCGTTAACGTGGAGAAGTAAGGGCAGAGGGCCTAAGATGGTGCCTTGGGGTACACCACTTTTGACTGGCTTCCAATCGGATAGCGTTCCGTTGACCCTCACTCTCTGTTTGCGGTCATATAAGAATTTTCCTATCCACTCCTGTACAGAACCTATTATTCCGAAGTTCGAGAGCTTGTGCATAAGACCTAAGTGTGAAACCTCGTCAAATACCTTGCTAGAATCTATGAAAATCACATCGACAAACAGACGGTTATCTAGGGCTGCTGTCCAGTCCTCTCTCGCAATAAGTAAGTCAGTCAAGCATGAACGCTTGTTACGAAACCCATGTTGCTCAGGAGCTAACATTGTGTGAATCTATGTGACCTAGCAACTTAACCCGAATTATCTTTTCAGGTAACTTCTTTCAGATTTCGTAGAAAAAGTGTGATTTTCAGACGAGACCCAACTATCATCACGTTGATACGTAATTTTCATCATTATTTGGGATGATGTCCACTCAGATTAGAGTTCCTGACTTAATGTTATCGTTTAAAGCCTACACAGTCGTTCATTTCTTTCTCATTTGTAGGCGTCTAGGCGGACGTTAACTTGAGAAGAGAAAAGTGGTTTTTCATATACGAATTTCAGTGCATTTATGTTTTCATGAGAGTGCCCGTATATTTTAAGCACTTTTGGGTGCTACGTCCAAGACTTGAGTATTTGTAAACTTTAACTGACCTTCCAGTTTTTTGTTTATTTGCACAAAAGTATTGCTTAACGATTTTAGGTGAGTAAATACACTGTGCTTCGTTCATGGCAAAGCAATAGAGTTGAAAAAAATTCTGCATTTTTGTGAAGTGATAGGGGATCGTGGAAATAACTGACTAACACTAGTTAACAATACACGGTGGTTTAGTTGGGAAGTCATTCATTTCTCAGTCATTCAGTTAGGGGAAAAACTCCCCTCTACCTGTTTTAGTTTAAGTAACCAAATATTTTAACTGTTATAACCGTGAAGAGGAAAAATAAGAGTATTGCCGTTCGCGCGAATCGAGCTTATTATGCAACAGCTAACGTGCGCAATCAAGATAACATGTAATATATCCGTCGTGTGCGTTTTTTACCCCTATAGTCCTCATAGCCATTTGTTTTTATACCAATTAGTTGCTTCCCCGAAGCTATCCTCAGATATTAAATTCATCTCAGTAGTTTCGAAACACTTGACATCTCAACCTGGTATGTTTAACGCCCACATCCTTATATGACTTAAGCAAAATACATGTTTGTCTGGAATTCAAAAATACCGTGTTTTACTCCATCTGTTGACTGAGAGGATGTTTGATAAACGCTTGTCCAAGGATCATGAAGCATCACCTATCCAGTTTAGTTAGGATGAGCACTACATTACATTGTGAAGCTCTGTGTTGAGTGACTGGCTTCCCATTGACAATTGTCCATGTCCTATTAAATTTAAATATTCAGAAGGAATGAAAAATAAACAGGAAGATCAATTAGTTTCTATTGATTAATTGGGTCTGAATTTTGTGTTTTCTAGTGAAATATCGTAACATTTGATAAAAGTCAGTGCTCATTCCCAGACTCCAGAGTTACATCCAGTTCCAAGGAGAAAGTACCGCTGAGACTGTCTTACGAAGACAGGTGTCTGAGAGATGTTATTCACTATTCTATATCACCAAATTATAAATTAATCTTACCTTACAGGTAGGGACACTAATTTGGTTGGTAATAGGATGACACTGCTGGACATTTTAGCTCTTGCATGAAGCTCAAATAGCTTCGACAAGTAACGATCAGTATAGCGTGGGGCAATGATACAAGTCGGTTAAATAAACAACACTCATTTATGCCTCTTAAACATTTTACGCATTTCAAAACCTTTACATAATATTCAAACATAAATTTTATGGGCTCTAAAATTCTGCAATATCGTTATTATATTGAATTCGTATTTAC